TCATTGTCTATCCATATCGATTTATCTCTAATTATCTCCCTCTGTGTCATAGAATGTATAGAGATAAAGGACACGCTCAGCCATGCCGCCATACCACGGCCATGTCCTCCTCTTTAGCACAGTCCACGTGCCGGCGTAGACACACTGACCGATCGATGCTCCCGATCTAGCGATGAGCTCATCACGTGACGCAGCAAGCCGCCCTGGGCCCGTAGGTGACGTCACATATGGGCGTTCCCTCGTCTGGCATTGTGCAGGCGGAGTGGGCGGGTCCTCGTCCTGCCTCGTTCCTCCCCCGGCTCGCTGTCAGTGTCTGCTCATTCTTCATCTGCGGACAGAGCCGGCAGCACCGCGCTTCAGCTCAGCGATGGCCAACAGCCCGTGTGCCATCCAGACACAGCCCCGCATACCTGCCCGCATCGCGGCGGCTCTGGCACCCTCTCTGCCAGCTGGGCTTCTGCTGAGACCTGCAAAAAGGGCATGAGCTAGCCCCCGGACTGCCTGACAGCTAGACATGGGGGCCACCCGGCAAGGGAAAGGCTGCAGCGCCAACCGGGCTGCCTGCCTACTGGCTGTAAGTACCAACCAAGCTGCCCCTCCTCTTGCAGTGCCAGGCTCCCTCCATGTTTTCCAGCACTGTGCTGCTTCTCCTCCCTGGATCTCACTTGTCTTACCCTTCCTCTACTCACCAACCATCCTCTCCTCATTGTATTTATAATGGGTGCCAGCCTTACCAGTGCCAGCCTTACCAGTGCCAGGGCACAAGTGCCAGCCTTATGAGTACCAGTCTTTCCAGTGCCGGTCTTACCAATGCTCTGACACACCCAGATCATGGTACTGGGATGCTGGGAAGATGCTGCGGAAGCTCTTAGCAAGGATTGGACCTGCACTCCCGGCCCCTGTATGAGTTCCATCATCCCCAGTAACTAAGGTTCTGGCCCCCCCCCATCATCAAAAAAAGTAATTTCCTAGTCAGATCTGAGTTTAGTTACTCCTCAGGTACAACTTCCTTTATGAGGGTGACTACGTTCACTCTGCTTGGTCCTGTTGTGTAATGTAGTCACCCGCCTCCACCCGGCTACAATTATACACGGTGACCGCCATGAATGAATGCATTGGGACAGGCAGGGTAATGGGATTAGTAGTTCCAGTGACCACAGTGCTTTTGCAGTGCTCGTACCCCATGGCCGGAAATGGATGTTAATGCAGGTGCAGAGGGGAGCGTGAGGAGACGCAAAAGATCGGGCGAATAAACAGCATTTGATATTTAGAACATAAGACAGGACTGAGAGCCACTGAGTAAGGGCCAGATGTGGCCCCTGGGCTTCAGGTTGGGCACCAGGGGTCTGTTTTGCAGGGATTTTTTAGTGACACTTTTAAAACCCCAAAGATGGTCATTTCTGCTGCTATGAAAATATGTTCGAATAGTTCCGCCCAGGAACAGAGAACTCTAAATACCTTTATTCTAGATCCCTGGTGCCCAATCTGCTGCCCGGGGGCCACAAAGCCATTTGTTGCTTATTGTAAGGTCCTTCGGGGCCCTTGCAGCCCTCAGCCCAGTGATAGAGTAGATTCCCATAGTTGATGGTTTGGGTTATGTGAGAGAGGGCTTGTAGGGTGCACAGATGTGGAAGGGTTGACTTGTGAAGGGGTTGTAATAGCCGTGATCTCTAGTAGTCTCATGTAACATGTCTCCAGGCCATGACCGATGTATGTCCCCAGTCCCCAACAATGCCTATAGCATGTTTTCTGTCTCTGACCATCTTCTGTTGAATGACTTCAGCTTTCTGTAGAATTGCATTCATTGAAAATTATGTGTGGTCCTTTAGTGATGTCAGGGGCCACACCTGAGGCCTCCTATGTCAAGTAAGTTGGCCACCACTGCTCTAGACCAGGGGTGCCCACAATTTTTGTGTTAGGATCTACTTTTCAAATGAAGAGCTACATGAGATCTACTAACGGGAAAAAAAACTCTCTCTCTCTCTCTCTCTCTCTCTCTCTCTCTCTCTCCTGGCTGTCTCTCCTGGCTGTCTCTCCTCGCTCTCCAGGCTGTCTTTCCTTGCTCTCTCACTCTTTTCCTGGCTTTCTCTCCTCGCTCTCCAGGCTGTCTTTCCTTTCTCTCTCACTCTTTCCTGGCTGTCTCTCTTTGCTCTTTTGGACACTTTTAAAGCCCCGCTTTTCTTTTCTTGTATACAATGTGTAAACTAATAGTCTTTGATGTAATACATGGCACTTCAACCACCAGAATCCACCAGAAAGGTGTCAGGGAGCTCGGCTCAGCGGTCTCAGGCTAATAGGTAATCATGTGTGCACAGCTAAATAAATATACCAAAATGGAATAAAGGGGCCGCCATTCACACCCTTCGTGATCTACCAGCATCAGCTTTGAGAGCTACTGCTAGATCACTATCTACCTGGGCACCCCTGCTCTAGACCATCTTTTCTTAGCCAGGGTTCTGTTGGGTCGTAGGGTACCTACAGAGGTTCCTAGGGGTACTGCTCTTAATCATTCTTGCTCATCCAGGGTTCTGCAGAGCCCTAGGGTTCCTCCAGGGTTCCTTGAGCTGTGGCTGATCACCTACCATTTGATGGTGCCGGCATAGGTCCAGGGCCGTCACCACTTGACAAAGCCAGAGGCAGTACACCGATGATCATTTTTTTAGCGGCCTGTTAGGTTGGCGTTCTGACCACCACTGGAAGGTTGTATCATTCCTACTGCAAAATGTAACCCTTTATGACCCGCTTGTCTCAACCAGGGTTCTGTGGATTCATTGGGTTCCTCCTGAGGTTACTAGGGATTCCTTGATCAATGTGCAGTGGTGAATTGGCCCCACACCTACACTGACCCCCAATACAAAGGAACATATCTACTGATTACCAGTCTAAGAGGTGATTGCTACATCGGCCATGAATGTTGGGGACAAACAGATGTTGAGAATGGCTGGTCTGGAGGACCCCTGTGTACCACACATCTGAACATGGCTTAGAATTGAGCTTAGTTTAAGTAATATTGGTGTTTGTTGAATGTCCACTCATAATAGCAGGGGAAGAATATCTTTAAAAAAACTAAACTTTTTTTGCTACTAAATAACTTTTACTCTACAATGGGCCATTATATAAAGAACCACAACTCCTAAAAGTGATGTCATATGCAGGTGGAGTCTTATGAAGTCACATGCTGGCCTGTGACATATTCGGCTCCTCCAGTGGAGACGTCTTCCTTTATTCCCTGGCTCTGTCCATGCTGCTTTTTGGAGTTTTGAGAGTTTTCCTCATATTTTGGTTTTCCTACATTTACTGATGATTTCTCTTTTTAATATTACATTTTGGGAGAGTGGAAACCACCTTGTTGGAAGATGTGCAGAGACCTTACCACTAAAGTCATCACGGAGGTCATGAGGTTGTGTCTACGGGTGCGCTTGATGTAGTAGCGGAGAGTCTGTGTAATGGCAATGACTTGGGTCGGTGGGAAGTGACATGAAGCTCAGTAAACACAGAAATGGGAGCTGAACCTTCGAGTTCACTGCTTACTGTTGAGCTGAGCCTCTAGAGCGGGGCAGAACAAATCCCACGAGCCAGGTAGCCATTGTCCCTTATCACTAGAGCCTAATTTTTGAAGTCTTCTCTAGTTTCTGTCAATGGAGCTGGCTCCTTAAAAATTTGCTGGCTCCTGGATTCTATATTAATTTGTTCACGCCTGCTGTAGAGGGGTTTTGGCAATGGTTGACTCTCTACCAAGTTCCCCCATTTTGGTCAGTCTAAAGGTGGCCATACACTTTACAACCATCGCAAGACCCTAGTCTTGCGATGGTAAAGTAATAAAAAAATGTACGATCTGCCCATCTTGGACAGGCAATCGTACTTGCGATCATCGCAAGCCCGCCTCGCTGAGGGGCGGGCTTCCGATGACCGCAATGCTGAACGGGCAGTGTGCGCGGCACCATTCGGCATTTGTCTCCCGAGCATGCCACAAACCAGCCGAAAATCTAAGATTTTCGTCTGGTTTTCGAACATGCTCCTTAGACAAAAGACGTGCGACCGTACAGTAAAAACGGTTGCACGCCTGCCAACCACTTTGCGATTATCGTACGATCGCGGGATTTCCCGCGATTATCGTGGGATTTCCCGCGATTATCGTGGGATAATCGAACAGTGTATGGGCACCTTTTAGGAAGTTCTACTCTTCACTGTCCACCAAAAAAATATCGGTTTTGGGTATCTCTCTTAGAGATGAGGTCAGAGTTCCTCAATTATGTTGTGGTGGTCTCTATGAAGAGGCCCTTTGTTGTCAGTGTTGGGCACGGGCCATTAGAACTTCTACGATGCATTGTCGCAAGTGTAGTGCCATCTCAGGTCATCAGCCGACATGTATGTGAGAGCTTTATGGTTTTTTGGTGTATTTGCCTTTGTGACAGAACTAGAAGTCCAACTAATCTTCACACCCTCTCATATGTACACACTACAACCAGCTTGGTCACATATTTGTCTCAGTTGGCACCGTGCTGAGTACATAGGAAGGACTGCAGGGGTTGTTGACTCGGGTGTTCTGTTACAGTATGTAACTGAAAACATTGTGTATCACCTTGACAAACTCTTTACTGCTTCAGTGGATATTGGTTTTATCTGCTTATGTCACATCCCCCTTTATACTCTGTGATACAGATCGCAGCTGCGGAACTGTGTGGACAGACTATAGTCCCCTTAAACACAGTAAGCGGCTATTCAGGCTTAAAGGAGAACTATGGGGTCAGTGTTTTTCCCCATAGTTCTCCTTAGGGTAACGGGAGGACACAAACTAGCGTCCTCCCGTTACCCTAAGCTCAGTATATAGGGAGCTACAGCTCGCGGTATACTGAGACACCGCACCTGGAGCGGATCTCGACGTAGATGACAGGATCCGGCCAGCTGCGTGAGTGACAGCTGGCTCTGCCTATCTAGAGGCAGAGAGCTGTACCCGCCCCCTCCCCCGTCCGTTCTGCCAGTCAGCGCTGGCAGATCGGAGCGGGGAGAGGGCAATCCAGCCCTCCCCCTGTCACGGCAGAGAGCCGTGACAGGATCGAGAGGTGAGGGAACCCGGTATGTGTTCTCTCACCTCCCGATCTACTGAGCCGACCTGTGACAGTCTCATTGTCACAGGTCGGCTTAGAACTATGAGGTGAGTGGAAATCACTCATCTCATAGTTCTCCTTTAAACCCCAGGCGTCGCTCTCAGACTGTACGGAAAGTTAAGGATTTCGGAATCATTTGCCGTGTTTAGCAAATAATGTCGAAATAAGGGTGTTCTATTACTTCATAGGCCACAATAATGGATTTGAATAGAATCAGATTAGGCCCAAGGCGTAATGCAACTAATGGGGAGGTTAGTATGGTGCTGGTAATGACAGTAGCACCCCAGGTACAACACACGCTATTGGGTATTCAGTTTCTTGGTACTATGCTTACAGTCTGAGAAAGTCAATCAACACGTAGTACAAGGCTGCGAGTGAGAAATCCAAACACAGGTTACTTGCAGTTGAGGATGCAGGCAACGGTATGGAACCGAGCTGGTCGTGAGGAGGAGGTCCCAGGCCGGTT